AAATATCTAAATTTCCTCTTCCTCCTTTTTTTGTTCTCCCACTTTTTAGACCCCCTGAATGTCTGGCTATTTATATCAAAGACGGCATAAAAGACGGTGGGGGGAGACTGACTGGACGACATTCAAAATGTCATTCGGGTTTGCTGCAGGGTTAACAAAATCCAAAGTGCAGTTTATTTGTCTTAACCCTGTATTTTTTATGCTAATAGTGAATTTCACTTATTGTCCTATGTGGGTCACGAGGAGTATTGGGGCGGGGGCTATTTGCCTGCCCTTGAATCAATGAGCATTTTGCAACAGAAACTATGCATCTCCAGAGCAGAATATAAATAAAGTATTATGGTCAGTCTCCTAATGACAATGACAGATGTAGGGCAGACTTTCTCTCTCTCTCTCTTTTTTTTTTTTTTTTTTTTACTTTTGTTTCATTAATGTTACTTGTAGCAGTAAAACTGAACAATAGGAGTGGATTTGGAGCATGATTAATCCGGCGACGAAGGAAAAACAATAAAAAAGGTCATTGGCCTTCAACTGACGGCTCCTTATGGATCTGAAGTTTGGCATTGTGTGAAACTTCCAGTTCTGCTCTTACACGTTTCATACATCAACGAGGCCCCGGAGTGCCAAAGCATTCCCACGATTCCGCTTCCAAGTTTATGCAAATAGACACATTTTTGCATCATTACATTTCATTTCACTGATTTAACGGTAATCCATCTAAAGCTAGTGTAGTTCTCCCCTAAAATACATGAAATTGAACTAATCTGCTTTTCCCTCAGTGACTCTCGTCCTTCGCTGCCGTTTTTTTTTCTTCTTTTTTCTAAAACTGTGCCAAGATTAAAGGCATTACCAAAGAACAGAAACCTCAAGTCCTTTAGATTAGTGTTCAATTACTTAATCCTTTAATAGAATGTGAGTTTTGCCCAAAACAACAAAGCCCCTCAAATACACATTATTACCGCTGTCAAAAGCGGCACGCTAATTAAGTCTAACAGTTACAAGAAGGTTAGAGTGTTCAGATTCTAGTCTTTTGCAAGGGAGGGAAAAAAGATCACGTAAAGCAACAAGTCAACTCATTACAGTTATTCAAATAATAAAAAAAGAGACTTTTATTTTTTATCTTTTTTTATTGTTTATGGCTTTCAGTGAGTGAAAGGACCTAAATTCTACTTATTTAGCTACTAAAATATTCTTCACACTAGTAAAAGTGTGGCCATGTTATGGCCTATGCAATAATGAAGAAGACTATTGTATTCACAGATACTCTATGTGACAGTCTTCAAAAGGGTGGTAAGCCACAAAAGATCACCGTTCAAGGAACTGGCTGTTTACAGGGTGCCGAATCCAAGCACAATAAAGGAAAGTCAAGTGGAAGCAAGAGCTGTGGTAGAAAATGGCGTACAAACACCAGGTTTAACGGCAGCTTTAAGAGTACAATGAAACAAAGTCCTATCAGATGTTTTTTGATACACAGTCTTGACTTGTTGCATAAAGCTACTACTAAACCAAAGGAAACGATAGCCTGGATCTACGCCGCATGCGGCTCCGCTCTGCTGCGAACGACGTAGCAGCATTCGTGCATTTCTCAGCTAGCATGATTTCCCAATAAAGTACATGATAATACGGATGAATGGTTTCAAAATGAGTTTTTCTTCGCCCACATTGGCTGCCTCCACCGAAGCTCCTACTGCGACTTGGCGTGGTTTCGAAATAAAAATCATGTTTTGTCTTATGTGTTTATACATAACCATTTTAACAGCTTATACATACAAATAAACTCATATATTGTTTATCATAGCTAGAATTTCGAGAAAATGTAGTGTGTATTTGGTTAATTATTTTTGAAAATATGGCTGTTGTGCTGTTGTGTGTATGTAATATGAGTTTTACTCACTGAACAGCATTACCGACAGAAGTTAGCTTTTTGTTGACGGCATCATAGAACACCTGTATTCTTCTAATGAGACAGATGAGTGAAGATTTTTTTTTTTTTCCCCATCGAGGTAAATAGAGCTGTTGTTTTGCTAGCCCAGCCTCTGAATGAATACGACCACGAAAACCACCACCTCCCCTCCATTCTTCTTCTACTCAAACCCCCGCGCCCTCCCCCATGCAATTTTTATTTTTTTGTTAAAAAAAAAAAAAGAAAAAAAATCAACAGCGAGTTTGCTCACTAAACGCTTGGAAGCAGTTTATGAACATTTCAACAATAAAATCCCCTTCGCCTGACATCAAAAAGGCAGCTCGGTTCATTTCTGATCCCGATCCAAGTTCAAAGGCGAAGTTAAAGTGATACTTCAAAGAAGCGTGTAATCAAAGACACGCAGCTGTTAAAACAATCTTTTGTTAGCTCATTGTCTTCAGAACAGACTCTTCACAAAATCCCCAAATGAAGGGAAGCAGAATCAAATAAGTTACATTCAGACGCTCTGAGTGGGAGGCCTCGGTGTCATGCTAGAATGAATGCAACACTAAAGATTTACTACCATTTACAGCAGCTGAAGCAGTACAATACGGCTTGGTATCCTGCCTGGGGAAAACTGAACAAAAACGGAACCACCGCGGCCCTTTTAAATATGCCAAGGGCTTCAGGCACATTAAAATATGCCCCAGACAAAAGTGAGGCATTTTGACAAATTAAGTGCCTGGTTATGAAGGCTGCATTGTTATATTTGATGCCGTATCCTTGCTCGCGAACCGCAAGGCTCCATCGCTGTCTGTAAGTAGTATAATGTCCCCTCGGTCGCTCCGCCGCGGCCTGCTGCACTGTGTCATTTGATTTCCTCCACAAGGGCAAGTTGCAGCTGTATTAACAAGTCCCTATCACTACCTGATGCGGTTGAATTTTAATGCAAAGACCATCCGAAAGGGGGGAAAAAAAAAAAAGCGGGGGGAGGGAAAAAAAAAAAAAAAAAAAAAAAGTGAGCGAGAGAGAAAGAGCTTTGCCAGCCCATTGGCTTGGCTTAATTTTTTAATATGCGTTAGCACCTAGCTTTAATCCGACTCTAATGTACACCGTCAGGGGTTACTGTTGAGATAGAGAAAGGGGCTGTCAATCAAGGCTTGGCCAAATTATACCCAGACTCCATTAGGTTTAAAATAGAGCAATGAGGTCTAGCGTGAGTCAATCAAATCATTTAAGGATGGCTGTTATGGTTATTACGTTCTACTTGTTATGGAACCCGCTCTTACCTTTATTACCAGCAATGGCGAGTGAAAGCGAACGGCCCCTGAAATGCACGTGTTCTGTTCGCGTTACGACCGTGTTGTTAATTTTCCTGTAACTCGGTGTCACGTTGAACATTGTGCCAAAAAAAAAAAAAAAGGTGAAATAACACTGAATAGATGAACTGAAAGTTCAACACTTAAAAATCAAAGGGCATGATGTATTCAGAAGATGTTTTTTATTATTATTTTACCTTTCAGATGAAAATACACAGACCAGGAGTAAAGTAGTTAGTTGGAGAAAAAAAAAGACAGGTATGCAACATATTGAAAAGATATCAAATCAAATGATAAAATTTCATGAACTTATGAAATAATATGACCAATTTCAAAATTGGTCATATTAAGTACATTTCATTATACATTCTGAGTCTTGTTTTTACTTTTAAACAAGACTCACAAGACTTTATCTGCTTAAAGTAACTTTTAAGCAAATAATATGCCCACATTTCTGTATTAAAACTAATCCTAAATTTTATGTTTTCATTATCTATAAGCAGATAATTGTCATAAATAACAGACATAAAAACTTTAAAACTCAAATGTATGGGCCAATCTATATAATGAGTTTTCTTGAGATGAATGAACTTTTCAGTTATATTCCTTTTTTTTTATTAGATATTGTTCGTGTGCATACATGGCCCCTCTACAACTCATTTAGGTTTTTTTTTAGAAAGTTGGAACTCCACCACACACTTTTTGTAGCAATGAACAAGTTTCTGGCATACGTCTGGCTGCAAGCCTCTTTAAGAGAGACGTCATTTTACTGTCTTTATCTATTCTGAAGCAAGTTTTGATGTCTGTTTGGGAACCATTTGGAGCAATTAACTGCCTCGAGGGTTTCTGAACCAGTCTCTCAACCACAGATGAAAGGAGATTGGCTAGAATGATTAGGCACATCTCAAGAACCACCCAGGCTCTTGAGAACTTACGGTGGAACTCAAAGCTGGTGGTTCACCAGTGCAACCAGTCACAGTGAAGCAAGCTTTACATCACCGCATGTTGAGAGGGTGAAGACTAACAAAGAAGATCCTGTCGCTAAAACCTTAAAGTTAAAAGGCAAATTAATTCTCAAGATAAACATATGTATACATACATATACATATATATAATCTGTCGAGACAAAAACTCTGGCCTCTTGTCATTGTGGTGGAATAGCCACAATGATACAGTATGATGAAGTACTTTTATGTGACTGGTAAGCACATTAGTGGTGGTATCATGCTGTGGGACGGTTTCATTGCCAGCAGTACTTGATAGCGGAAACTCAAACACAACCGGTTGTACAAACGACCCAAAACTCACATCCAAACTAGGCTAACAGGTTAGCTTCTGGAACAGCCAAAAAAAAAACAAAACAAAAAAAAACAAATTAGAGAATATTGGAAGGATTTCTAAAACTTTGAGCAGGGAAACAAAACTGTTTAAATAAACAATTCGGCCAATAATAAGGGTCAATTATACAGAAAGAATTTCACCAGAAGCTGAAAAGTGTGTGATTCAGGAGCAACTTTCTAAAAGACATTTGGGTTCGGGTGTATTTGAGTTGTTTATATGATTTTGATTCTGAGTGGATAAGAAAAAATAAATTCAAACTCATGTAACTAGTTGGAATAGAATAGAATATATATTTTTATCATGTTATCAGGAGGTACTAGAAGATGAAGGGTCCTCCCACCGAGCCTTCATGCACCGCTAAAATTACACAAGAAGCTAACAAGGAGATAATTTTATATATTTAAAAAAATAATAACAATTCAAGATATTTGGGAATCATGAAAGGAAGCAAACTAATGTCTCATGAGGGTATTGAATTTAGCAAGTGTGACATGGTGTGCTACTAACCTGTAAGTCAGCAGATCCAAGTATGATTGAAGACCGCCAGCGCATGTAAAAAGAGAAAAGAGAGGAAACACACAAGAAACAAAGTCAGAAAAAATTGTGTCATATAATACAACATTTCACCTTTACATATTTAATTCATAAAACAAAAATGTCACGTTTAATTCCCAGAAATAAAAAAAAAACAACTAAATCTCATTGTCTGGTGCTTTCTGGGCACACGCGAGTTGGACGAACGTCGCGGCATAAATAAAACAAGTTGCGGGTGCATCTGTTCGGCGAGATCTCCAAAAAGTTTTTGAGCCAAGTGACAATATGCGTAAAATGGGAACAGTGTTGTGAAAGATTTCCATTTGGACTGTTTGTAAACATGGCATGCGCTGTGGAAGTGCCAGGTTGCTCTTAACAACCCCGCTTCCAACGAACAGAAAAGTAGGGAGGAAGACAAATTGCCAAAAATGACATTATCATCTCCGTATGTGTCGCAAGGAAAGTGGATCTGCATCAAGAAAACGGAGCGAACCCGTGTGTGTGTGTGTGTGTGTGTGTGTGAGGCTGTGTTTGAGCTTGCTTGAGTGTGTGTGTGTGTGTTAGCGGGTCTGTGCGTGTCTGACCCGCTCCATCTGGAGGATTCAAACACTTGGGGGCTGTCACACAATAGGGATACGAAAGCCCGCTGAAGGATAACAAATGACTTCATGGCAGAACAGCCATTGAAATTCTTTCAGTATGTGGCATTAAAAACAACTGAACAAATAGAGATAAGAAGGTTGGTAGGATTTGAAATGAGATTTTTTTTCCCTCTCCCTTCCTCTCTCCCTCAGCTTAAAAGCTAAACAAAACAAATGGAGCTTATTACTGCAGATTACCTTACACTGGACAGATTCACCGCATGAGGCCTAGTGTAAACAATGTCTTTCTCTCCGTGTTCTAACTATGTGCCATTTATAACAGTGAGCAATCATATCCACGGCAGACACACACACACACACACACACACACACACACACACACACACACACACACACACACACACACACACAGATAAAGCAAAACATATCCTGGCCTGCAGTTTCAAAAATGTAATTGTTTAAGGGACTGTTTCCATGTGAGTTGCCATAGCAAACACTGATAAACCAATTACAGCCTGCTACATTGCTGCTTATTTTACCGCTGCATCAACAGCGGCTGCCACTGGAGACTGATTGTTTGCGTGAGTCAGGGGAAAAGCTGAGCCCTTCCATCCCTCTAAACGCTGTCACTCACAAGGTGCCGGGACTTGAAGTCGACGTCGACGACAACTAAAAAAAAAAGCTCTTTTGGATTTCTGCTTCTTGAGTTAGCTTTTTTTTTTTTATTATTGCTTTAAATCTATCATCTACCAGCTCCGGTCACATACGCCGATGTCCAGCAACAAAAACTAAGAGAAAGTGCCAGCTGATTCCAGCTTCCACCGCTCTCTTGAGTAAACATTATTAGGTCTGACGGATCGGTTGAGGAGGCGTTGAGTATTAAACAACACAGTTATGCTCTGAAAGTGTTTATTAAAAGTTTCCATATGAGCAACTGACTTTGATTGCACTGGATAGTAATTAAGATCAAACTGGGCTGTGTTCACAGTTAAGCTCAAAAATAATCCTTACTTCTGGCAGATTTTGAGTTTTTTTTTTTTTTTTTTTTTACATGTTTTTTTTTTCTGACTAATAGTAATTGTAACATTTTGGAAAGGTCCAAACACATTCTGGACTACAGTCTTATAGAGAAGCTGTAGAGGGAACACCTTGAAGGCAAGGAGGGTTTCTTGTCTCGAGGACAAGAAGATCTAAAAAAAATAAAAAGCTGGTCAGTTATAAACAGTTTGACTGATTTAATTCAAATTAAGTCTTCTCCATTAATTATTACGAAGAGGTATTTTTGCTTGGTAAAATATAAATAAAAAAGAGAGGGGGTTTTGTATTTTAAATACAAACAAACTTTTTGGTTTAAATAATCTAATCCAATCTGTGCCAGGAGCCCAGATAATTTCGCGCTGAACTACAGGCGCATCTCAAACATTCTCACGATTGGATTACACTGAAAGGACTGGGACTGTTTGGAGTTAAATTTGGCCCAAATTCAATGTTGTGTACTTGAGCTGGCACTGTCATCACATTCAAAGATTAAATCAAAAACCTATTTTCTGCAACGTAGAAATTATTGCATGTGGTTCAGTCTGTGTGCGAAAAGCGCAAAAGAGAACAATACTTTCAGGAATGTTTAAGCATAAGGATCTACATTGTCTAGAATGAACACACAGTGTGACTAAAAACACTAAATGCTAATTTAAGATGTTTAAAACAACTTCAGATGTCAAAACCATTATATTCATTTAGTCTTAAATAATAATAAAACCCCATCTTGCAAAATCAGGCACATTGATTTCTCTGTTTCCTACATCTTCCTTGTATCCTCTAATAGTAATAAACATAAAAACCCAGCCCAACTTCAGATGAGCAACCTCCTGCTGGTAGATATTTATTTTGGTAATATAACCTCCCTGCTATAAAATAGATTGTAAGCGTTTTGTGGTTTATATTTCATTAAACCATTGGCTGGCATAACATGTAGGAGGTGTACAAAAAAAATACACATGGTGTGTAGAAGCAGACCCCTGACAGATGGCTCCATTTCCTTCCCACAAAGAGAAGACCGAGACCAAAACTAAAATTTTAGTTGGCGAAGGAGATGAGCAGCCAGGCTCCATGTTTTGTCATTTGCCGAGTCAGAAAGACGATCAGCAACATGTTTTTTTTCTTTCTTGTTCTAATACAACAGTGACTGCAATCTGCTTTTAGACTTATAAAGACATACTTTTGTCCACCACAATTGTTTAATCTATATATTAGAGAGGAGGCCTCAGTGGACACTATTCATTTTCTTTTCACTTTTGTTGAATTTTCCAAATTTCTACATCGTGTCAAAGTTTCTGAACATTATCCATGTCCAAAGTAAAAACTTTTAAACTGGAATTTATATAGATTTCTGGGATATTAGTGCAAATAAAGAACAACAACAACAACAACAAAAAGTCCAGTCAAAACTGGGCATAATTGTCCAACCCTATGAAAACTTTTGATATTTTTATTCTGTTAGTAAAAAGTTTAAAAGGAGTTTTAGTGCTTGTTTGATGTATAGACCAGACTAAGTTTTCAAACCACACACAAATCCAGTTTACCGCTCTAAGAAGGTCTCTAGGTCTAGCAGAAATTTAAATAAGTGTTCATCTGTTCAAAATTCATTTTATTATTTTTTTCTATCTGCTTTTGGTTCCTATGTCAGCTGTTTTTTAAGTTTATATTATTATTTTTTTTATTCTTTAGGATCAATCATGTAGTTTTTTTTAATATATTACATTTCCAGGCTTAGAGTTAAGAAAACCTACATAAAAAAAAACATTTAAGTGAAAAGCTCTAATTAAAAATGTAATTGGGTTTTATCTCCCCCTGTAAAAGCCAATCAATTTGACAAAAAAAAAATGTTTAACAAGGTTTTTGACAAAAGTCAAGTTTGTGTGTGGCAGTTGAAATATAATGAATGCAAATCATTTACAAATTAGTTTGAAATTATTTATTGATTAAGGATTATGATTCGTTAAATCTTTTAAACAACAAAATGAAGATTGAAAGTTTGGAAGCTTGACTGTAGCGACCAGAGATAATGATCAGGTCTGACCTTCCCTCCATCCAGGATTTATACAGCTGTGGGGTCAGGAAAAGGGCAGCTAAAATCTCTGCAGACACCACACATTCTGGACACAGACTGTTTTGACTTTTACTTCCAGGTCAGCATTACAGAGTGCTATTTGTAAAAAAAAAACAAAAAAAAAAAAAAAAAAGCCACCTCATAGTCAGTTTCTTCCCTCCAACTGTCTCTTTGATCAACACAATAAACACACTACAGTCTGAGTCAGCTTCTCTACTGTGAAGCAAGATAAAAATAATTGCATTTCTTCCTTTCTTATGTATATTTAGGCTACAAATACATGGCTACAAATTTGTCTGCAAATATTTTAGATTTTATCCCTTAGTTGCGCTGAAGTTTCTGAAAATAAATCACAATGAATGATAAATTCTAAAAAAATAAAAAAATCTAACATTTTTCCAAACTGAAAATGGTTTTAGCCTATGGAAGAGCTCAGTCACTTTTCCATCTCTACCAAGCAAGTTAAGTCGCTTTGCACAGTTTCAGTGAGAAGTTGTTTTTTTTTTTTGTTTTTTTCTCTCCATGGTCTCACACTTGTTGATTGATCCCATCCTCATAATGGTTGTAAAAGTGTCAACACTGACACAAAAACACCATCAAAGGATTCATTTTAGATTTTTTTTTTTTCTTAACAAATACCAGATATCCAACATTAAAATGGTCAAGAAAAGCGCAGTATAAAAATACCTGTTCATTTTGGGGTGCAAGAGGAAGCAAACACTCAGCCAGCACGCAGAAAAAAACAAAACAAACCTGAGCCGAATTTATCAAGTGACCTAGTCGGCCTAACAATCAGGCGTTAAGGAGAACAAAAGCCCATTCCAAATAAATTCCCACTGTATTTGTGCTGGGATTTGATTTACTGGCCTGTGGGGAGGCACCATTTGGTAGCACAAGAAGAGGCGGAGAGAGGTAGGTGGTGTCTGACAGCCGAGTGTGTCTGAGTGTGTGTTTATGTGCATGCGTGCAAAAGGGGGCTGTTCACCAGGGGACGCTGGTTGGGGGTGGAGTGGTGGCGGCGGCGGTGGTGGAGGGGGTGCTCATGTGCCAGAAGTGTTTATTGTGTCATGGTGATTTATTGAGTGAGCTTCATTTCACTGAATGTTCTCAGATATTTATTTCCCTAAAGGCCCCACAAAGATATGAACAGGCCTGCATCCACATATGTCATCATTGCCCATTTTACAGCGTCAGGAGATTTCTCTCAAAGTAAGAGAAGGTGGAGGAGCAGGAGGTTGGGGGGAGGGGGGGCGGTGGAGGAA